AGCTATCCTGACAGAGATAAAACTACTCATAGAGTCCTCAAGCACACACATCAGCCTCCCACTCCTGGCGGCTCCCCACCCTGAGGTACATAGCACGCACACATGGACACACATATAAATGTCTTTGCACAGGTGCATGCTTGTGTACACACAGACACACACACACACACACGTGGACATAGACACACCAGCTGCCATAAGCAATAGAGAACCAAGAAGACCTACTCCATTCAAGACATCCGCAGGGGGTCAATAACTCATTAGAGCCGAAGAAAGGCAGAGGCAGCTGAGGGAGATGACGTTGTGGGAAGTGGGCTGTGTGGCTACGGGCTGTTCACCTGAGACTATCAGCATATCGCTGTGCTCACAGGTGATGAGAACGATTCATAGCTTCATTAGCAGTCATGTCATAAAACATGTCAGCGTGTTTCCAGGCCTGAGATAGGGTGCTGTGTGCAATTTGCATGTTTTATTTGTCTCTAACCTTTTTCTCCCTTTCTGAGATTTTTACTGCTTGTCCTCTTGGCTTTTTATTTATTATCCTTTTATCACTTGTCATGAACTTTGCATCTCATTGGAATGTTCCATAAAATTAAGTTTATTATGAGGTTAAATTACAACCCCAAATCAAAAAAAGTTGGCATGGTAAGTGAAATCAAAATTAAACCTGAAAATTGTGATTTGTAAATCATCTGTGTGCTGTTTTACATTGAACACAAAACAGCAGCACATTATTTGATGTGATACCTCAACAATTTTATTATTTGTTCAAAATAAACACACTTCAATTCTGCAACAGGTTCCAAAAAAAGTTGGGACTGCTGTATTTTAGGGCTAGTAATGAAGTAAAACAATGAAATGATGAGTGCATTTGAAACAGGTGGTGTCAACAGGTGACTACAACCATGATTTTGTACAAAAGTAGCATCCACGAAAGGTCAAAAGCTGGGCCGAGGACCACCAGTTTGCCAACATATGTGTGAGAAAATTATTGAAATGTTTAAAAACAATGTTCCTCAGTAAAAGATAGGAATGATTTGGATATGTCCCACTCTACGGTGCAGAACATCATTAAAAGATTCAAGGATTTCAGTGGGTAAAGGGCAAAGGTGCAGCCTAAGCTGGGTGACCATGCTCTCTGATTCCTCAGACAGCACTGCATCAAGAATCGTCACTTTTCTATAAGCGATATAACCACATGGGCTCAGGATGACTTTGGCACTACAATACATAGTTACATCCATAAATGCCACTTAAATTTGTGCTGTGCCAAAAGGAAGCCAAATGTCAACAGTGTCCAGAAGCACAATCGACTGCTCTAGGCTCAGAGGCATCTGGGATGGACCATCACACAGTGGAAACATGCACTGTGGTCAGACAAATCAGTATTTCAGGTCTTTTTTTGTTATTTAGTAAGGAATCAATGCCATGTGCTCCAGACAAAAGATGAAAAGGACCATCCAGACTGTGACCAACATCAGCCAGGGTCTGTCATGGTATCGGATTGTGTCAGTGCCCCCGGCAAAGGTAACTTGCACTTCTGTGATGGCACCATTAATGTGAAAAATACACTGAGATTTTGGAGCAATATAAGCTGCCTTCAAGATGACATGTTTTCCAGGGACTCCCATGCATATTTCAACAAGACAATGCAAAACCTCATACTGCCACATTACTAAGGCCTGGCTGTGGAGGAAGAGAGTGCAAGTGCTGGACTGGCCTGTCTGCAGGCCCGACCTTTCCCCAGTAGAGAATGTTTGGCACATTTTGAAATGCAAACTGTGTCAACAAAGAACCCAGGACTGTTGAGTACCTTAAGACTTGTTTGCAGGAAGAACTGGGACAAAATGACACCTGACACATTTAATCACTTGGTGTCCTCGGTCCCTAAACATCTTGTAAGTGTGAAATATTCAAATAATGTGCTGCTGCATTGTTTTCAATGTAATACAGGGCACATGATTAACACATCACTATTTTCGGTTTTACTTTTACCATCACAACATTTATTGATTTGGGGTTGTAGACCTCTGTCCCACTATCATCCCAGTGTCGAGCACTGGTCTGCTGTTGTAGGCACCAAAGCAAATATTTGTACAGTAAATTATTTGCTCTGCTCACCTGTTATATCTGGCTTAAACTTCCAAAAAAGTTTCTAGTAATTTGCGTTTCTCTAATGATTACTTGAATCAAATGGCAGCTGCCCTTTCATTTCTCCTTTAACAAGCCCTGGCACATCTCCAGTGAAGGGGACTCATCTGTTTAATCATCTCAATCACTGAGCTGGACCTGACTAAATATAGAATACAGAAAATAAGACTGCAGTGCAGGTTGCATCAGTGTACTACAGCAAACAGACTGTCAGTGAATCAAATGAAAAAAAGATGGTTGTGTGTGTGTGTGAGAGAGAGAGAGAGAGAGAGAGAGAGAGAGAGAGAGAGAGTCTACATGATTGTCTGAAGGTTTATCAGACAGTGTGTTTTGGGTCCACGACATTGCATTATTTACAAAATATATCCTGTTATACAACCTAACCCAAAGGCTTCAGCATCACTTCAGTGATACAAGTTCAAAATGTCAGCAAGCCCTATTTGGATGGACATTACAAAAGCCTGATTACATATAATTACTTCTGGAAGCTATTGAAAACCATAATGTCTGCAGGTTTTTCATGACTTATGCATTTGTTGTACATCCAAATCAGTGATTCCATCTTTGAAGTGATGTCCATGCGAAATGCCAAGGATGAGTTGCTCAACCTTGTTAAGGACACATGCTAATTACCTGAGCTAAAGAGTAAATCCATAAACACACAGACAATGTAATTAAATCATCTGCACAACTCTGTGTCAACAGCAGTCATCTAAAATGACCTTGAAACTTCTTGAAATGGAGCATGTTCATAGAGTATGTCAGCACCTTAGACAATGTCATGCTGACACAGTCACACCCCACAAACCAGTACCAGCCCAGTAATAGAGATAATGTAATTATCTGAAGTTCAGGAGCCAGACCTGACCTGAACTGCACCCCTTCTGTTTCTATACTATTTACACCAACCAAACCCCCTCACATCTGCTTTTGCTTTTAGTTAAATCCAGTCTTTTCCCTTTATTCTTTTATCCCTGCGGGGGGTCTGCCAGTGCCCAAGAGCAGCACAGACTTCCTATGCCCTCCCCCAAACCAAAGCACATAAACATTCAATTTGAAAATGCACTCACTCTTGTTTTTCCCTCATTAATGAGGGCAGGTCCCATCTAACGAATTGCTTTGTGTCTATACCGGTCTTCAGAAGAGAGCAAAGGATAAAACTGTGGTATCAATTGTTCAAAGGTCTTAAAATAGGTTGGAGAAGTTACAGTCCATTGCAAATGTAGGCTATATAATAAGAATGAAAGATTAAAAAAATGTAGTTCTACTTAGTAAAAATACTCATTTTACTTAGTGAAATTATTATTTTTGTCTGAGCATTTTACCAAATTGCTTTGCTTAAATTACAGGATATGTAAATGCTAAATAGCCACTTTCAGCACCTTTTACATTAAGACACTGTGGCTATCTGTACTCTGACAATCTTGTAGCTAGTCAGACACCCACCTCAGCTGGGATGCCCGTGTTTGGTGCCATTTGGCAGCCACTGGGCTATTTAAATGCCCTGATGAATACATCACCCCTGGGCCTGCTTGCTCAAACTGAACACTGAGTGTGTGCTGACATGCTCAGCATACACTAATGGGACTTCTGACAGTTCTGTGCATTCATCCTACAAAAACTCGGCATTGTGCCAGCATAGGGACCTGAGGCTGGGTGTGAATGTAATGCACTGGCTGTAGATCTGAAAACTAAAAGGCTACAGTCCTGACTGGTGCAACATCTAATGTGTCTATAACAACCACTTATACTGTCAAAATGTCCTCGAGCATGACAGGAGCCCCGTTCGGCTCACTTGTTGCAAATTACAGTACTTTGAATAAGAACAGCAGCTGCAGTAAATTCTCTAAAGAAAATTAATCAACACCTCATCTTGGTTGAGCTCTGCAGTCTGGGTTAATGGTCAGAGAGGCCATCCATTTCCTAGAAGCTCAGCAGCTGTGCGCACCCCTGTGCGCTTATCTGAAGCTGGATACGATCTATAGATACGTGACAACAGTGTAAAATATCCCAGGAAGCTGTAACCTGCACACGGAGCTGACGTCTGTAGAGATGTTGAAAGCCCGGGTGCTGTCCATGGTGCTGAAAACTAAGCATGATTAAAACGCAGACCTAAATATGTTCAAGGACCATGACAACTCGCTGTTGTGAGCTAATACATAGGTTTGAAGCCAAATATGGTTCACATGCTTCACAGTGGCCGCAGCTGTCTCGAATCCCCTCGGAGATGTCAGTGTTGTTTTATGGAACACAAGAGACATTTAATTGATTATGGTTATTTTGGAAAATGTCAGTAGAACATTGTAGCCCAATGATGTTGACCTTTTAAGCTGTGTAACTCCGTTGAACAGCATCCCAGAATGATGCAATTTCAGAAACAATATTGATCATGATTTGTTGTAGATCTGAAATCCGTATATTTCTTTCTTTCGAGAAAATAAAGCCTTAATGCTGCAATCAGTGCAACTGGCCAAGAAACCACGCGCATGGCATTTTGTAAGAATTTTACTGCATAAAACAAACGATATTGCTTTTACCCCCCGAACGGAGTCGTATCAGACTTGTTACATATTTCTCTCTCTCTCTTTATCTTTTTGGAATACTGTAGGGATGTTTTGAAGGAAAAAAGAGGAGCACTTCAAGGGAGTTTGTGCGCTAATGTGGCGAGAAAAAGCCCCACAACATTACGACCTCCACAGAAAACAAGCCATTCCACGAAATTAACAGTGTTAGTAGTTTTAGTTAAAAGGGATTGTGAGGGTTAGTGATATGCAACGAGAGGAAACACAAACACAAGTGTTAACTTGAGGCTTTGGAGATGCCGCCTACCATTACGCATTGATTAGTTCCCCCCACAGAGAAGCGACAGAGGAATTCCTGGGTGCAGATAGGACCACTCCTCTCTCTCTGCATATAATTTTCTCCACAGTCGGGGCTTGGTGGTGAGAGGGGGGTGGTCTCGCAGTCGACGAGAGGAACAGGAGTTTATTGAGGAATAGCTGCAACGGGAGGAAAAACGCATTCAGCACCGTTGCTTTGCGGATAGTAAGAAGAGAGGGGAAAAAAGATCGCGCTTGGACGAATGACCACTCAAGCTGCTGAGAAACTGTCGCTGGAATTGTTTAACTTGTTGATGCAACGTTACTGTACTGTTTTCCTCTGTCGACTGGCTGCAGTAACAGATAAATGGGTGGTGGAATCGCAAGTGTTCTCTTCCGAGGATACGTATTTTATTAAACTCACCGCGGATGCAGTTTAGAGACCAGCCTTTCCTACGGTGGGTGGTTTTCTTTTATTTAGATTTTCATTGAAAAAAAATCATCCCTGCTTATTTATGGGCGACGTTTTCGAAATCCAATTCATATTTTGCCGCAAAGTAGGCTTCACTTACACTGTGGATAAGGCTTGAGAGTGATACTCAGTAGTGCTATGCGCAGTATCAGTATAAATAAATGGGTTTGTGTGTTTTCTTATCACATTCTGTTAAGACCCGGTGCTTCAGAACCCTAACCATCAGTGTATTTATCTACTGTTCTTCCTGCAGATGCAATTCATCTCTGAGCCATAGCACTGTGATAACCGGAGCTGGGTCGTATTAAACATTATAGGTCAGCATGGCAGCAGGTGTAGCGGCATGGCTCCCCTTCGCACGAGCGGCGGCCATCGGATGGATGCCCGTGGCGAGCACTCCGATGCCCATCCCTCCCCAAGACAAGAGGAAAACCAAGGAAGGACTCATCATCCTCAATGTGAGTGGGACCAAGTTTCAGACGTGGAGAACCACTTTGGAGAGGTACCCGGACACTTTGCTGGGGAGCACGGAGAGGGACTTCTTTTTCCACGAGGAGACAAATGAGTACTTTTTCGACCGTGACCCTGACATCTTTAGACATATCCTCAATTTTTACCGCACGGGGAAACTACACTATCCGCGCCAAGAATGCATATCTGCATACGACGAGGAGCTCGCTTTCTTTGGTATAATCCCCGAGATCATTGGGGACTGCTGTTATGAGGAATACAAAGACCGGAGGCGCGAAAATGCAGACAGGCTTCAAGACGACGAGGATATGGACATGAAAAATGACGCCGCGCCAGTGAACCTGACGTTCCGGGAGTACCTGTGGCGGGCTTTTGAAAACCCTCACACCAGCACATTAGCTCTGGTCTTCTACTATGTCACAGGCTTCTTTATTGCCATATCAGTGATGGCCAATGTGGTGGAGACGGTTCCGTGTGGGACTTTGCCCAACAGGTCAAAGGAGCTTTCCTGTGGAGACCGTTATGCACTGGCCTTTTTTTGTTTAGACACTGCGTGCGTCATGATATTCACGGTTGAGTATCTCCTCCGGTTAATAGCAGCTCCCAGCCGATACAAATTCATGAAAAGTGTGATGAGCGTCATTGACGTGGTCGCCATCATGCCTTACTATATCGGCCTGGTCATGACCGACAATGACCAGGTAAGTGGTGCTTTCGTCACGCTAAGAGTCTTCCGAGTCTTCCGGATTTTCAAGTTTTCCCGTCACTCGGCGGGGCTGCGCATCCTGGGCTACACCTTGAAGAGCTGCGCCTCCGAGCTTGGCTTCCTGCTATTCTCCCTCACCATGGCCATCATTATCTTTGCAACGGTCATGTTTTATGCAGAGAAAGGCTCCACGGCCACCAAGTTCACCAGTATCCCCGCAGCGTTTTGGTACACCATTGTCACAATGACCACACTGGGGTAAGTGGCGCCATATAGTCCGTAAAAAGCGTTTTCAACACTCTATAAATCATACTTCATCTGGCTTATAACCTCCACGAAACACCCTTACTCTTATTAGTGCTTAATCACAATAACACCATTTATAATAATAATTAAAAAAGTCAACATGTTTAGGCTACTTCTCAAGTAGCCTAATTCAATTTGCTTGTTGACACACAGAGCCTAATTACCACACCTTTTCGGCTATTGTTTGAACTAACTCTCGTGCGGCCACAGGTGTGCATATACTCGGCATGTTAACGGCCTCTGGCGCTGCTCTGCCAATCAGAAAGCAGGAACGATCTGCTTCATGGACGCTTTCCTGCGCCATTCACTCCTTATCAAGGTTTCTGCGCCTCACAAACAACCCTTATCCGCAGCTTCTCGTCTCGCCTGCTTTCAAGGGTCTTTATTGGCTGCGCTCTTTTGGAAAGCTCACTGCAATGAACACAAACATTTTGGCCAATCAACACACGGCAGATTAGTCTTTGTTTAAATGCCACATTGCAGTAGAGCTCTTAGGACCATAGAAAGAAAGGCTCCTAACTCGGCAAGCTCGTGCATAGGCTACGGCATTTATAGACCACACCAAGACAAAAAAAGCAGTAATGAAGATAAATGCAAAGTAGTCTACAACATATTAGCCACACACACGCACCTTCCCCTGCAACCCCCCCAGCTTTTACATTCATTCTCTATCAGCTCCTCTCCCTTTCAGCGAGGTACAGTAAACGTTAATTTCATGCTCATGAACAGCATCAGCTGTACCATGTGCTGATGCAGCATAAAATAATTAAACGCAGTTAAGACGATTACGTCAAATTCATTTGTATTGATGAGCGCACTCAACCGCACAGCTGCTCGGCGTGGGTTATTATTAGTGTTTCTCTCATTACCATCATTCACTGTGGGGCAGTGCGCTTTCAAAGGTACTGAAAAGTTGTGGCAATGAGCTGAGTGAATGCGGCGTTTGGATGCTTGAACCCCGATTACAAGTTGGAAAATAACAATCAGACCATTCCCAACCTGTGCGTAAAAATATCCTGGGTGCTTCTTTACTTATTGCTGTTGGCCTGAGGATGAAAAGCCACTCAGCCAGTATTAGTTCTCAGTCCATCTTCTTCACCGATGACAGACATGAGGTCTCGCTGAAATAACGTTGTCTGTTTGATTTCAGATGATTTCAGTCATAACATCACAGATCAAACATTGTGAAACAATTTGCCCCTGACTGTGTGTAACTGTGTGTGTGTGTCCATGTTCACCTGTGTGTCTGCAGGTGTGTATTTCTGTTTAAGTGTGTGCTTGAGATGTGTCAAGTGTAATTTCTGTGAATATAAAGTTTAAGTATGCATACTTCTGTATTATTTTTGGTTTAACCATTATAGGAATGTGCATAACACACAGTGAAAACAATGAGAACAAGCTAAAATGTATGCTTGACTTTTTATGTGCTTGACATGCTCCTTGTTTTTGTCTGTGCTCATATCTGCATTGATGCAGCCATTCTGCGCCTGGTTGCCCTTCAGAACAGCCAGCAACATATGGTATTTCTATTTTCTGAATCAATAGAGAGCTAACCTCTAAAAGACCATTAAGAGCATAATTAGTGATATGCACAGTCTGGTGATTGAAACTGCCACCTCAAATGTAATGCTGCATTCGCCATGCTTTCCATTCACATTCAAAGAGCAGATGAAAGATGAGTTGTGTAAGAGGGTACATTATTTATCTTTGGGGAGTAACAAAGATATTGCCGCATTCAGCTTAGAATCCCCTTTGTGCTGCTTAAGATGGATTTGAAAAAGATGTTCTGCTGCTGCTGAAATGTCCTTGATAATAGGGACGTTTTTGTCACTTCATTGTGGACCATGATAGCCTGGCTGACAGATTTGCAACCTGAACTGAAGCTTTGCAGTGGTGCAGAATGCTGCATAGTGGACCACTGGTGGAGAGGCTGAATACATCACTGAAAGACAAAGTGGACTCTTTCTCATGATCCATCATTGTCTTGAGGTGTGTCTTTAAAATATATCTTATGCAACCCTGTCGAGTTGAATTGTGGTTGTCAAGGTCTACCCAGTACACTGGAGTACTGTATATATACACTTTCCTCGGGTAACCTTCAAAGGCTTGTCTGATCAATGGAAATGATGGTTTGTTTAAGAGCTTAGTATGGAGAAAATTTTAAGCATGTCTAACAAACAGTTATTTGAATCAGATATGGTTTTTCATTTGGTGGCAAATACACACTTTAAAGAGTAATGGGGGCGCTGTTGGCTGGAACCTCCATTTGAAGCCTTTGAAAGCATTTGATTTCATTCTGATAGTCAATGATCCTTTATGCCTGTATGGTAACATGATGCCTTTCCACTACATATATTTTCAATTTCCCTGACTCACACCCTGTGGAAGTAAAGACAGTGGCGTGCGTTCTCTCCCCTGCTGATGGCCCATTGATTGTGCTTAAGCAGACGTGCAGACATTGGGAGAGCAGGGGCTCCTGTTCAGAGGCACTTGGCAGGCAGCCTGAATGAAAGGGTGCCTGGAGACCAGCGGAGAATCAATAGCACTGTGCAGCTGCGTGTCACGCCTCTGTGTGTCTACTGCTCTGTGCCACCAAACACAGGACAAGACCCACTTATCCATCTTTATTTATTGAGCTTAATCTCTGTGGTTGCTTTCAGCTACCCTACAAAGACGAATGTGCCTCTGTCTGAACGCTCCTGCCAAGATCTTCAAGAACTGGGTGACTGGGTATAAGATATGAGATTCTTATCTATGGTATTGTGTTTCCATTTTTTATGAAAAAGTCTTAGAGTATAATCTTGTGACTTCATATTGTCCATTTAAGGCAGCAATAGATTCCAAAGTAAAGATAGTGTTGCACATTATTAGGCTGGAATCAGTGTTGCAGTGTTTGCTTGCTCTTGTTTTCTCTAGATGATCCACACAGTCAGGGTGAATTAGCTGCAGAGGGAGTTTTTGGTGCTTCAGATCTTTTAAGCGATTTAAGGTGTAATGGAGTGCACTGCTGAGAGCAGCTGTGAAAATGGTGGAAGTCAAGCGCAACCCACAAGGGAAGAGGAGTGGGGAGGACAGGGTTTAGTCTAGCATGGAGGCACACATGTTCCTCTGGACACAGACATCAACTTTGATTGACATATTAGATCTCAGCCTCTGACACAAACGTTTTCTTTTCAAACATTTAAACTTTCATCTCAGTCCTTATGTCAGTATCCTTCATTAGGTTCTTTCAGTCAGTCAATAAATCAAACTTGTATTTAGTGTATACAGGTTAATGAAATTCAAAGTGCTCTACAGATTACTGACAAGATGATAATAAGTGAACTGCAAAAACAATATGAAAAAAATATGAGGCTGATGCACACGACAAATTCAAAGCAAAGATGAAATCTAATAAATATAAAATCATAAAAACTAATAAAATAGATTAGTATAAATTAAAAGCTAGATGAAACAGAAGAAACACAATTAGAAATAACACATTATTAAATGTTATTAAATGCATTTACTTGACAGCCAAATGAGGAAGGTGTAGATGTAATTGAATTACTGGTGATATGTGCTAAGACATTTGATGTCTCCTCTGAACATTAAAAGACTTATAAAAATATATACAGCGCTGGTCTGTGACAGCCAAATCCACAACAGAAGATATTACGAGATATAAAGTGTGACCCATGCTGAATTGGCTCATTAGCATGTTTGACATCCATACACGACAATACATGTAAAAAATCTTTCACTTTGGTATCTGCCTTAAAATCGCCAGTTTAAATAAATCTGTCACATTTAGCATGAATTCAGAAAATTCAATTTAAAAAGTGGAGAGGCAGAGTTTCAGAGTTTTGGGGATCTAAAGATTGTTAATGCTCACAGTGGCTGCTGACACACCATACATATGGGTGACGAATGAAAGGTAAATCCAACAGAAAGTGTCTTCATAAGGTGCAGGGCCACCATGTGCCACAAGGACAGCTTCAGTGCACCTTGGCATTGATTCTACAAGTCTCTGAGCTCTGTGAACGCTATACTCCCAAAACATATTCACTCGTGTTTTGATGATGGCAGTCCAAAATCACCTCTAATGTTCAACTGGTTTGAAATGGGTTTCCATGAAGTCCATAGCATATGATTCACATCATTTTCATAGTCGTTAAACCATTCAGTGAGCCCCTGTGCCCTGTGGTCATCCTGGAAGAGACCCCTCATTTATTCAGGTTCTTCCTTTAATTTGTCACCCATCTCTAGGTACTGTACCTTATTCAAAACTAGAGGAAGCTCAAAGGTCAACACCTCTGCCCTTTGCTGCTTGCTTCGAGATAATGGTGAGAGGAATGCTCATTTATACTGGATGCATTGTTCTATGGTGCAACAAACACAGCTGTACATTACAGTCACTCAACAGATGCGAAATTTATCACTATGCCCTTTGTCTGTATTACAGCTCCACCCGACAAATATGACTCAAAGACTTGACAAGTGAGACCTATAAACCTCTCAGGATAGGATTTATAAGACAGAGGAGGCAAGGTTAACACAAGGGTCATTGTACAATAGGGCCCATAAACTACCAGAAGTATAACCATTATCATACTTGCCAGATGTGACACCTCAAGCCCACGGCAATCAAAGCCGACAATACAAAACCTTAACTTCATGGCTCAGTTTGGTGCAGAGCAAAGCTTTTTGAAGTCCAGACCCGTCTTTGCACGTCAAATGTAATTGAAATGAACAGGAACAATCTGGAGAGCCCTTTACTGTAACTCTACCCAGGAGATACCAAATGCCTTCATGATGATGCAGTACTCATGGTTGGTTAAGTTCCCGTGCCCCGAGCAGGCAATGCAGAGGATTTTCACTCTCTTTTCTTTTTTTTTCAACCCAGCACGACAGTCAGCGAGAACATTTGGTGTGTTGGATTATGTACTGCAATGGGTGTAATTTTTGTGTTC